GGGCACGCCTGGGTCTCTCTGCACCTTGCCCCCTTCGCCCAGGGGAGGGGCACTGAGTGCTGCACTGGGGGCAGGCCCTGCCCGTCACACCCTGGGCCCCCTCTGTGAGTCCTGCCCCTGCCAAGGCCAGTTTCTTTCTGCACCCAATGCCCACACCAGGTCTCAGCCCGCAGAGGGGACGGTGGCAGCAGGAGAAGCTGCTGAAGGAAACGTCAGGCTCCTCGCAGAACCCTAGAGATAAGGCACGGGGCTGGCCATTTGTCGTGATGTCGATGAGCTTTGGGCCACAGGGGTGTCCCAAGTTGCCGGGCACGTGGGTGTTGGGGATTGGGGGGCAGACAACAGGACAGAGGGGGATGGAGGCCACAGCCTGTCCTCGGGTTTCCAGGAAGAGGCCAGCAGGGTAGGGTGAACACGACACTGGCTGGGTTTAGTGATTTCTCTGGGCTTTGGGGTGTTCTGAGGTGCCAGGCACCTGGCCGGGGTGACTCGGGCAGAGGAGCATCCCTTCCAGGGACAGGGCAGGTGGCAGAGGCCGGGCCTCCCCAGGGGGTTGGCACAGGTCACAGGCAGCTCCCAGGCCTTTGGCAGGTGGGGGGGTATCTGCCCACCAGGTGGGATTTCAGCTGTCAGAACATCACAGGAGACAGAATACTTTAAATGGACACAGCCGACCCACTCCCGTGGGTCTGCAGGCCTGCATCCCAGGTGGTGATTCAGGGGGCAGGTACCAGCCACTCCGCCAAGTAACCCAAGCCCCACTTCCTCTCCCCTCCTGAGCCTCCTTCTCATTTGGGGGTGACTTGGCTGGGCGGGGAGGGGAGCAGGGGGGAGGCCCTGGGCACTCTGTGTCCTCTGGATTTGAGTGGCATCAGGTGCTTCTCAGGGAAGGAGGAGGATCCCAGGGAGCAGGGACTGCGCCCCGAGCTTCGCCCGACACCCCTGGGCCTCAGATCCTTGGCGGGACTAAGCCACGGGACCACAGCTACGCCCACCTGGCTTCTTGCTCTCTCAGGAGGTTTTGACCCGGGAGGGCCTCCCTCCAGGGCGCAGGCTTCCTCTCTGCCCACTGAGGCCCCTGCCTGTCCCTCACCCACATCCCAGCCCTGCAGCCCCAACCCAGGCCGCCCCCAGCCCCACGGCCACCAGCCCCCAGCACTCCCAGCCTGTCACCCCCAAACTGGCTGCCCCCAGCCCACCTCACTCATCCCCCCTGCCTGGCACCCTGGGCAGCTCAGGGACCCCTCCGACAGCCCGAGACTGCTCAGAGCAGCCAGCACCCCACTGTCCCCCCCCACCCGCCTCTCCCACGGAAACACCAGTAAAGCGCTCCCCTCACCCTTGTGCTGCGCCCCTGACTGCCTCCCCCCGCTCCCCCCAGCCCTAGGTCCTCCCGTGGCCCACGGGCAACATCCCGGCATAGACACTGGCCCCCCAGTGAGCTGGAAGGGGCACGGTGGGGAGGGTGGGCAGAGGTGCCCACAGCTGCCTGAGGAGTATGAAGAGACCCCATACCTGGATCTGGTCGCTGGAAGCCCCTCCACACTCCACATGCCTCATTCACAGAGGGGTCGCCCCCCGACCCCCAGGCCTCGCAGGTCAGGCCGGAATCTCCCAGCCCTGAAGCTCATTCCCAGAGAGGCCCGCCACCAGGGGCTCTGCTCCGGAGAGAACACACAAGGCCAGCCTCGCAGACTGCAGGAGCGCTAGCATCGCCCAGTGATTTATTTCATCTTGGCACAAGCAGGCAGATGGACAGGGTTTTATGGGGTGGGCACTCAGGACTCGAAACGCGAGCGCTGATCGGTACAGCATCAGCTGGGCAAAACTGTGTCTTCAAGGCGGCTGTTTGTCTTCCAACATCCAGCAACATCACAGCACTGCTTAGCGCTTTCAAAGCCTCAGAGGAGCTTGCAACTCACAGGAGGACAAATCTGGTCTTTTGTTTCATTTCACACCAATTCACCAAGCAGGTAGGAGGCCCTCACCCATGCCAGTTCCCACACTAGGAGCCGGAGCCTCGCGGTGCCTTCCAGGACGCAGGGAAGCAGAGAGAACGCGGCTCTGCTGCACACTCAGACGCAGCCAGAACACGACGCATTTCCCTCCTTAGTTCCTGTTATCTTCCCGTGAATGATGATGTCACAGAGGAATGGGGAAAAGGAGAACACTGGTTTTTTTAAAGACACCAAAAATAAAACATTTTGTAAGCTAGGAAACCATCTACAATAAGACAGAATGCAAAAGAGCACTTGTGTTTACATTTCGACCCAGGAAGGTGTTACAACAGATAATGTCCTGAAACCATCTTAACTTCAGGAAAAGGCCAAGACTTAAAAACACATTTCATTTCAAAACACTTCAGAGGAAGTTACCCAAGAGACCAACAAATTAACCAGTGGCTACCAGCATTAATAAAGTGACACCAGAAAGTAACAAAAATGGGCCAGGTGATTCATTTTAAGTATTTGTAGCAAAAGTGATACAGGCAGTTGTCACCAAGTAGCCAAAGAACTTCTGCAGCATTCACTCTCTGAAAGGAAAGGAAACTGGTGCAGAGATAAAGTCACCACGGCCCCAGGCCAGCCCCATAGCTGCCAGAGCCCACGCTGGCGCTGGCACCAGGGCTCTCCCCAGCCAGCAATAAAAACAGAAAGGAAATGAAGATGACTGCACCCCAACCCTTGGTTCCAAATGAACCTTGATTCACAACACAGAAGTCATTGCTGTCAACCAACCAAAAGATTAAGCTTCCGCGAATTACGTTTCCCCTAAAAATGCCCCACTGCTCTTTCAAATGTCTGGAAATGTCAGTGTTTGGGGGTTTCTTAATTTCATGAGAATTACGGATGTCGTAAATGCACTGCCTTCATTTGATTCAAGCGATCGAAGAGCAGGGATACTTTTGCACCAACTGGTTCTCTATAGAGAGCTGGACACAGGCTCAGCAATGGGACAAGCCCCGGTCCTGGAACGTCAGCCCTGGAGGCCTGCCCCTCGACCCACCCTCCTGTGCGGAAGGATCCTGGGCGGGGGGCTTTTCCATTCGTGTACTTGGCGCATTGCCCAGCTGGCCGCACACCCCAGGTACTGGCCCTCAAACAAAATAAACTGGTCTTCGCAGCACACAGGTCCTCTGGCACCTGTTCTCGGTGATGCTGCTGTGAGAAACGTGGTCTGCAAGGTTCTAAGTCCATCACCCTCCTTAGGCATCCTCCGGGATCTGGTCTTGACAACTCCCTGGGGCTCGGGGCCAGCTCCCACAGGAAGCGGTGCTGCGTCTCAGCCAGGCGTCCCTTCATTCAATTCAAGGATGAAATAATATCCAAACACTCCAGCGGGGTGTGTCATCGTCTGGCTGTCCACGTCTGACAGCTAGTATGTCTCCCATCTCCAATGGGGAGCGTTGACTTTGGAAGCCCACTTTAGCATTTGTGTTTTTCAATAGTAAGCATCCTAGGAATGATTTCTCAAATAAAATCACAGTGATAACATCTCATGAGTTTGATATTGAAGGAATGAAAATATCACCTCGGTTCCATTTCAAATAAAAATTGAGCATAAATAATGAAAGTCTGGAGAAAAATGTACTGTCATGTGAAAAGCTCGTGTCTTTACAAGAACACTGTTTGTTTCTTTTGGACCTCACTTCTTCTTCTCCTGCCATGTCTCCAGTCTGCTCCTACAAAGTCAGGCAATCTGGAGCCTGGTTTTTCCTAAGAGGCTGACCCAAGTTGCCAAGACATCCTGTCGTGTCAGGAGCGGTCATGGGCAGGCGCACAAATCCCCAGAACACAGAACACACCAGCTGAGACGGCAGAGCTCTGTCCTCAGGACATGCATGAGTCACGCTGAATTTCTAAGCATGCTTAACTGACCACTTTAATGACCACTGCCACTTTAGGAAGCATAACCTATTCCCCGCCCACCCACAGATCACACAGGCAGGTTCCCTCCCATCACTGATTCATGAGGAAACCACAGTAAGCTACACGTGACTTCATCGACTTCTGTGCCAGTAACCTTCAGTGGGCACTTTTGCTGTCATAAAAAAAGTGGATTGGATTCAGAATCCAAGTCAGTTGGCCTCCCTTTATGAACATATATTTTATCCTTAAATGTTTAATAGTAAACCCTGCCTTTTAATCCTTGTGCCCTATCACAGTAGTGAAACTTCATGTTAGTTTCATTAATGGTATTTTGGAGTTCACAATTAGACAAAAGTAGTTCATTTGCTAAACTACATTATGTTGTTGTTGTTTAGTTGCTAATTCATGTCCCACTCTTTTGCAACCCCATAGACTGCAGCCCACCAGGCTCCTGTCCATGGGATTTCCCAGGCAAGAATATTAGAGCGGGTTGCCACTTCCTCACCCAGGGGGTCTTCCTCACCCGAGTCTCCCGTATTGGCAGGCAGATTCTTTACCGCAGAGCCACCAGGAAACCCCCCAACTACCTTGCTCCCTCTCCTGTCAATATGCTGTCACTCTGCCACACTTTCTTAGAGTAATGGTTGTAAAAGTAAAGTTCCCTCAGAGTTACAGAATTAATACTTAAAACATCACAATTAGTGGGTTCAAACTATGCCTGTATGTTTTTCTTTAGAACTCTCAGACAAGAAAGGATTTCAGTCCTCTTTCAGGGGGAATACTGCTCTCTTCGAGCCCACTATAAAACATCACCGTGGCTGGGCACACCTGGCCCTGCTTTCAAAGCAGGCGAGCACCAGGCCGCTGTCAGCCTCTCCTACTGATCTAAAACCCAAGTAAGAATCACTCATTGCTACACCTTTGAACATAATGCTGCTGCTGCTGCGTCACTTCAGTTGTGTCCGATTCTGTGCGACCCCATAGACGGCAGCCCGCCAGGCTCCCCCGTCCCTGGGATTCTCCAAGCAAGAACACTGGAGTGGGTTGCCATTTCCTTCTCCAAAGCAGGAAAGTGAAAAGTGAGAGTGAAGTTGCTCAGTCAGGTCCGACTCTTCACAACCCCATGGACAGCAGCCTACCAGGCTCCTCCATCCATGGGATTTTCCAGGCAAGAGTACTGGAGTGGGGTGCCATTGCCTTCTCCAGAACATAATACACCCTTTAAATTGAAAGTATTAAACCCACCTCAGTTAGGTGATGAGAGGGACCTGCTCTCAGGTGTGTGGACCTCTGACCCCGTCTGGGGCCCCTTCGATGACAGGAAATATCTCCAGTGCTCACTGGACGGAAGACCTTATTGGGAATCAAAAATTTCATCTTTAACACTTCTTACATTTGGAGTTGAGCCAATTGCAAGTTGAGCACATAGGGCAGGAACTTTTAAACTAAATTAGAAAAGTTTTAAGAGCTTGATTTATCGGTTATAATTTTAAACTCCAAGCTAAAAATAGTATGACCTTCTTTCAGGTGTTTCCAGGAATATAGTTCACACTGGCCTCATTTTAGGACTCTAGTCTGGGAGCCCCTCCGTGTTTCCCAGGGCCTTCTCAGCGGGCAGTAACAAGGGGGCTGGCACCCCGCAGCCCACAGAACTCAAGCCCACCCACTGCACCCTGAAGCGGTCTCTGATTCTGTTTCCTTCTTTCTCAGGTATGTTGTATCTTATTTGCAAAGTTATTTGCTCACATCCTGCATCTTAAGCCATCGACCCCCCCTTAAGCAAAGCAAAGCAAAGCAGAAGGAAAGCAGAGTAGAAAGGGGGCCTTGAGGCAGCGTTGGACACGGTCTCCCAGGCCCTGCAACAAACACTACCTCCTATGTGATCCCCGTGGGCAGCGCCCACCCCCGACCCTCTCCCCTCGCCTCCGCTCCCCTTGCGCCATTCCGGGTTCCCAGTTGGGACCTCGGCCCACGGGGCGTTCCCTGTTTCGGGCCGCGGAGGGCCATGCCGAGTGGCCACCCGGCCCATCTTACACGGCGCCCTCCTCCCCTCGGTCCGGCTTCTCCTCCGGCAAGTTGAGCACGAACGGGAAGAGCAGGCCCCGGGCGTCCGCCGGGGTTTGGAGCGAATGGAGCTCAAAGCTGCCTTCCGGGCCCGTGTCACCGGCGCCAGGCTCGCCCTCGGCGGGCGGCACGAAGCGCCAGGTGCCCGCGCGGCTCACGCAGTAGATGGTGCCCTCCAGCGCGGCGCAGCGGAAGGGCTGCAGGCCCGAGGGCGCGCCCGGGGGCCGCAGGTGCGAGGCGCAGCGGCTCCACTGCTTAGCCAGGCAGTGGTAACGGAGCACGCTGACCCCCCCGGCCGGCACGGCCGCCGGCGCGTCGCCGCGGGCCCCACACAGGTCGAAGCGGTAGATGAAGCCGTCCAGGGCCACCATGTCGGCTGAGCGCTCGCGGCTGCTGCTGCACGGGCACTCCTGCCACTCGTCGCGCCGCGGGTCGTACTTGAGCAGGCGGTAGAAAAGGGAGCCCCCGGACACGTAGATCTCGCCGTTGCACGTGGTGGCCTCGTGCGCCACGGCGAAGGCGCCCCGGGGCAGCGGGGCCACGGCAGCCCAGCGGTCGGCGCGCGGGTCGTAGCGCTCCACGCTGAGCAGGCACTCGCCACCCACGGCGTACAGGTGGCCGTCCAGGGCCAGCAGTTGCAGCTGCGAGCGCGCCTGGCGCAGCGGCCTCACGGTGCTCCAGCGATCAGTGGCCGGGTTGTAGCAGAAGACCCGGTCGGAGGGCCTGGCGCGGCCGTCGGGGCCCGCGGGCCCCACGCCTCCAGCCACGAAGAGGTAGTTGTAGAGCACGCAGAGGCCGCAGCCCCGCGCCGGCGCGCCCTCCGGCAGCCGCGTCAGCTCGCGCCACTCGCCAGCCGCCTCGTGGAAGCAGTAGACGGCGGCCTCGCCGCGGCCCTCCGCGTCTCCCGAGGGGCTCTGCGGCCGGCTGCCCGCGCGCTCCCCGGCCGGCCCGAGGGCGGCGGCCAGCAGGCGGGTGCGGCCGGCGCGTAGGCGGCGGCGCAGCAGCAGGTCGCGCTCGGCTCCCGACAGGCGCCCGAAGACGGCAGGCTCGCGCAGCACCTCCAGGTAATGGTCGCTCATGAAGCGGTAGGCGGCCTCGCGCAGCTCGGCCAGCCGCTGCCGCTTGGCCGCGGTCAGCACCTCGAAGCAGTTGGCCAGGCTCAGCTGCGGCGCCACAGCATCGGTGGCGCGCTGCGCGGCGCAGGGCAGCTGCAAGCGGCGCGCGCCGGCCACTACGTCGGCCACGTTGTCTGGGCGCACGCCCGCCATGCGCCCGCTGTACGCGTAGGCCAGCAGCAGCCGCAGCGCCGCCCAGCCCACGCCCTGCACCCGCAGCACGTCCCGGGACGCGCGCGCGCGGAAGTAGTCGCTGCGCGCCGCCAGCACCGCTTTATGCGCCCGCAGCCGGCGGCCCGAGACCTCGATGAGCAGGTCGGGCTCTCCGTGCTCCGGACCGACGCCGGGGGGCACGGGCGCGGGATCCGCGGGCTCCTCCGGGGACGCGGGCTCCTTGGCCGGCGGGCGCTCCCCGGGAAACGCGGGCTCCTCGGGGGACGCGGAGTCTTCCGGGAACGCTGGCTCCTCCGGGGACGCGGCGCCCGCGCTGCCGACGCCCCACTGCCTCTCCACCACCCCCCGGCCGCTGCGACACGAGGGCGGCGAGGCCGCTGCGTCCTCCGCCGCGGAGGAGGCGCGAGACTGCGGCGGGGAGTCGTCCCCGGAGCTGAAACACAGGGACGCGCTGAGGCTGCAGGGTGTCTGCGCCGGGGACGCCGCGCCCTCCCCCTCGGCCGCGTCCGGCGGCTGCAGGCTGCCCTCTCCCGGAGCCTCGGGAGCGCCGCCCCGGCCCCCGGCCTGGCCGCACGCTCCGTCGCCCGGGTAGAGGACGCAGGGGACCACCGGGCTCTCCATGCGCGCGCGCTCGGGCGGCTGTCCCCGCTCAGCAGCCTCTCATCACTCTGCCCAGACTCGGGCCGCCCAAGGTCGATGGCTCCTCCGGGCTCCGGGCGCGCGATCAGACCTCACTTGTGTCCACAGCGGGTTTCGCTCTCGCGCCGCTGGCTCGCGCCCGCCCGCCCGCTCTCCCGAGAAAGGGGTGTGTCGGCGGGAGCGCGCTCCCGCTCGCGGCTGAACTTGTGACCCCAGCGCGGTCCCCGCTGGCGGGCGGCCGTCTGCCCGGGTCTCTGCGGTCCCGGCTCCGCGCGGCGGACGGGACTCTCTGGGCACGGCTGCCGCTCTGCGGGCCGAGCTGTTGGGTACTAAGCACCTGGCCCGCCCTCTCTCTCCGAGTCACCGTCCATCTGTCCGCATCCCATCGCGTCCGCGCTCGGCGCCAGGCTGCGGCCCACGCTTCCCAACCCCGACTTTCAGTCCTGCTTTACAGGCAGCCGCCCGGGGAGCTTTCATCTCGTGTGTGACCCCGGTTCGCCATTAGCGCTGAGTGGGGGCCTGGCTCGGCTGTGTTCACCTGGGGCGGGCGGGGATGCGTAATTCATTCACCAGGTGGGCGTTAGGGCAAGTCAGTGCACACACTAGACCCGTCTTCCTCACTCATCCACCGGGGCCTTCCTTTTCCTTTGTCGGAATATCAGGTGTTTCCATGTCGTGTCACCAGTTCTTCGTGTTCCTGTTTACGGGGAAAGAGAGGATGTTTGAGTTTGCATTTTCCATAGGCGATTTCGTGTGATACCTACCATCTGTCCCCAGCACCCCCACAGGCTGTAGGCTTCAGATTTGGTGGGAAGGGGATTTTGGCTTTTCAGTGCTGGAGAGATACTTCAGTGAATATTATTTAGGAATTAAAAGACTGTTCCTCCCCTGATTTGTGAGGCCTGTAAAGAAGGACCTGGTTCAGCCAAGGGCCTTAAATATTAATACATTGGGTTGAACCACAAAACTTCTGGTTTGGGGATCAGTGACAGTCAATATCAACCGTTCCCAAACTCCAAGCTAATGAGATGTTATGTGTGAAATTAAGAACTCTCAGTGAGAAAGCATGGTTAGCCTATGACACCTCCTCAGTTCTACCCTGGGACAGTTTTCCTGAAACCTGATCCGGTCAGCTATCTCAAATTTGGTCACAACCAGTATTTAAAGAAAGGTGCTGAGCCAGGGCTCTTGTGTGGGCTTGGCCTCCAAGGCTCCAACCTGAAACCCGTTTGATTGGCTCCTTCTCCGCACCACACCTCTGAAAACCTCCAAGAAAGGGATGCTCCAAAGAGCACACATGCCCCCAAAGAGAAGCCAAGATGAAACGAATCAGAAAACAAAACCCACATAACTCCTTGGAAGGCAGAGGTAAGCACCTGCAGATGAATCAGAAGAATAAACCATCTTTCCTAAATTGGCCAAATCTTCACTGAGACTCAGCAGCCTGGAGGGGAGGTCTTGGCATAAGGGGTGGGGCAGCTGTGCTCTGGTTTTCCTACAGAGAGGCTGCGGACAAGAGAAACCCGCCAGACACACGCAGCCAGGCCCGCCGTCTTTCCAGGCTGTGTTCGCCTCTTAGACGAGATACAGTGACATGTAACCACCTACCCTCAGCTGCTTCTGATTCTCTGCTAACCGTACTTAATACTGTTACCTGATCCCTATAAATGTGCAGGGTTGAGTGTATGTATATATATAAACACACATCCTTGCCCGGCTCTTTCCTGCTGCCATGTTAGGAAAAAGGCTTTCCTATATTCTCAGAAATACAAGTGTCTCAGAGTTGGAAATTCTAGATGTTCAGTTCCCTCTCCCTTCCTCTGTCTCTCTTCCCCTCCCTCCCTCTCTGTTTCCCAGAAACTGTTAACAGTACCCTGTGGGCATATTCCCAGGTGCAGAGCGCTGTCTAGGACGTGTGGAAAGGCAGCGTGGGGACGGTGGGGACGAGCTGAAACTCTGACCACGGGCGTGAGGGTCACGGGGGTGCCGTGTGTTTACTCAGCTGTGCCCCAGCCCGCGGAGCTGCTGGGGAGGCGCTGTGTCCACTGAGGTGGAGATGAACTCCGGCCCCTGGTGACCGGAATGTGATGACAGACTGGAAACAAGCACAGATTTTATAAGCAAAGGTTCTGGCTTTTTCCCAAACTGCCAGAGGTGTTTTCTTAGTCAGCTAAGTCATTCAGGGAAAATTAGATAAAAAGTAACACATACTTACATATCCTACCCAAATATATGTGTGCACCTCCATGTCTGAAATCAAACCGGAGAACTGGCTTTCTGATTTGCCTCTTTCTTTTCACACTTTCTCTGTATGGTATGGCCAGTCTTGGGCCTCAGAAAAACTAACTAGTTTTTGGCCAGGAAAAGAGTTCCAGAACTTCCTAGTTCCTTCTCTGGCCTGACTCTCATCAGAATGTGCACAGGCCCAACCCTTGTGGGTTCTCCTCTTGGGAGTCATCACAGACTCGAAGCCAAGGCAGGGCATGGGACTCACTTGAAAAGCCTGAGTTTGGAACTCTCATGTTTTAAAAGCTCTCCAGAATCCATTTAAAGCCTGAAAGAATCGGGCAAAGCAGAAATTTTGTCATAGCTGCACTGAGCAAGAGCTGCGTGATGAAACAGACACAATCTAGGCGGTCAGTGGCCTTAGCAGGCACGGCCGTGCCCGCTCCCCGTGTGCAGTCCGCTGTCTGAAGGAAGGTGCTGCAGGCTGACAGGTCCTGCCTCACCCCCACCCCAACACACGGTGCAGGACAAACGGTCAGCATCCCCAGGAGAGAGCAGGGGACCACTTCCTTTCCCAAATGACGTTCAAGAAACTCAACTTTCAGAGCGAAACCCTCTCCCCCAGAATGACCCGTTACTGTGGTTTGGCCTTAAACTGGATGGGAAGGAATCAGCCGGGGTGTATAAGAGTCCTCGGAGGCATTGGCGGGTCTGCCAAGACGCTCAGGTCAGGTTGCTTTGGTTGGAAGTCTGGGATTTCCAAAGGGACTTTTCCCCATGTTGTACTTGGCTCTGGAATCAGAGTCCCCCCCCTCGGAGGCTCTGGGAGGATTCTGAGCCTGGCGCCCACCCTGACAGCAAAGAAACTACCAGACTCCCCGCCTACCGTGGCTCAGGAAGGGCCTCCCCCGACCACCTTTCTGGGGTTGTTAGATGGACAACCGCCTCTCCTTGTGACTGACAGGAGGGATGTGTCAGCAGAGGTGTGGGTATGCGATAGTAACAGGATCCTTCCTGACTATTGGTGAGAAAATATTTTAATAGGAACATGTCTGCTTTAAATATAACTTAGGTAGCACTCCCCGTGAAGGATATACATCTCTTTTCCACAGTGTAAATACCCAAGCAGAAGTTTTTAGCCTCTTCCTATGAATTTCTTCACTCTCAATATGAATTTTTTTTAAAAGACTGTATGATTTCCAAATGTGGACATTATTTATGCACTTAATGTGGACATCAGATCATTTAAAATTAAGTATGTTTCATTATCATGATATAGGTTGCTAAAGAGAATCTCCTTTTCAAATAAAGTCAATTTTTTAAAAACCATTAATGAACAGACTTAGGAAGTTTATCTAAAGACCTGCAGTGCCTGTTGTTGTAGCCAATTCCTTCCGGGGGTCCTCTGGGTCAGGCCCGCCGTGTGTGTAATCCGAGTGTCCAGCCACCTGCTTTCGACAGCAGGGTCCCAGGACCACTCCCTGACCCTGCCCGCCGCTGATCCACACACACCAGGACCACCCCACCCACACAGTGAGCAGCCAGTGAATGCTGGGATGACATTAACCTGAGTCTACTCTGCCAGGCTACAGCACTGAAGGACATTTCTAGGACTCCGCAGATGGTAAGGCAGTCTCAGCGCAGGAGTGGCCGTGACACAGCTCACGCCTATCTCTATCCTCCAGGCACTGCTGTCGTACGTGTTCCACACATGACCCTTGCAAGCACCCCTCTGTGGGGCTGCAGTTTTTAGCCCTGTTTTGCCAGAGGAAATGAGATGTGAAGCAGTCTCACCAACTTTATATGATTAACCAGCCCAGCGCCTGGCAGGTGGCTGAGCCAGATGGGGCCCACGGCCTGGCTCCAGCATCCATGCTGCCCAGCGCCCGCCCGATGCTCTGAGTCCTTCTGTCTGCTACTTCTGTTTGTTGGTTTTTTTTTAAATTTTATTATGTATTTTGGCTGTGCTGGGTCTGCAGGGTGCCAGCATTCTCTGGTTGCAGTGCACGGGCGCTGCTCTAGAGCTGTGGCGATGGCCTCTCCTGTTGTGGGGCACAAGCCCCAGGGCCTGCAGTCTTCAGTAGCGGTGGTTCCCCGGGCTCTGGAACACAGGCTCAGGAGTTGTGGCGCACAGTTGCTCCAAGGCATGTGGGATCTTCCTGATCAAACCTGAGTCTCCTGCGTTGGCGGGCGGATTCTTTACCACTGAACCACCAGGGAGGTCCTTCCTGTCTGTTCCAGTCTTGAAGGTGAAGCCCGGGACTTTGCCGCATCCGCGTGCCTGGCTGAGGGACGCCTACGAGATGCTGGTGGGTCTGGTCCGCTGCCCAGCGTGTCTGGGGGTCAGCATGCTGAGGGCGCGGGCTGTCCCAGCCCTGAGAGGGAAGCAGATGGAGATGCAGGCAGGTCTGGCGGGAACGGGCTGCTGGGGCTGTCTGTGTGGGCGTGATTCAGGGGAATAACAGCGGGCTGACTCTCTGGCAGGGATGCACTGGTGGAAGTAAAATTAGAGAATTTCCTGAAGAAAAGCCTTTACGTAATAGCTGTTCACAAAGTCCAAACTCCTTAGGCTGGAAAACAAGGCACTGAGCTGTCTGCTCCCAGGTGTGCCCCGAGCTCGGCCCTCGTCCTTGGCCAGAATTCTAGGCCTCTCCACCCACAGAGCAAGCACAGAACTGCCGCTGCACCTTGGTGAGCCCCATGAGGCTGTGTGCACGTGTACACCCCACACACGTGCGCCTGTGTGTGCAGACCCCACACCCTGGTGAGCCCGGTGAGGCTGTGTGCACGTGTACACCCCATGCAGGTGTGCCTGTGTGTGCAGATCCCGCACCCTGGTGAGCCCGGTGAGGCTCTGTGTGCGTGCACACTCCATGCACATGTGCCTATGTGTGCAAATCCCATGCCCTGGTGAGCCCTGTGTGGCTGTGTGTGCATGCACATCCCACGCACGTGTGCCTGTGTGTGCTGACCCCGCGCCTTGGTGAGCCTGAGCCCTGATGAGCCCTGTAAGGCTGTGTGTGCGTGCACACCCCACGCACATGTGCCTCTGCGTGCAGACCCCACACCCTGATGAGCCCCATGAGGCTGTGTGTGCGTGCACACCCCACGTAGGTGTGCCTCTGCATGCAGACCCTGTGCCCTGGTGAGCCCTGCATGGCTGTGTGTGCACACCCCACGCAGGTGTACTTGTGTGTGCAGACCCTGTGCCCTGGTGAGCCCTGCGTGGCTGTGTGTGTGTGTACACCCCACGCAGGTGTACCTGTGTGTGCAGACCCCGTGCCCTGGTGAGCCCTGCATGGCTGTCAGTGCATGCACACCCCACGCAGGTGTACCTGTGTGCAGACCCTGTGCCCTGGTGAGCCCTGCATGGCTGTGCACACCCCACACAGGTGTACCTGTGTGCAGACCCCACACCTTGGTGAGCCCTGCTAGGCTCTGTGTGTGCACACCCTACACAGGTGTGCCTCTGTGTGCAGACCCTGCACCCTGCCCTCCCAGAGCGCCATCAAGAGCACGGCCTGCTGGTCCTCCTGCTGCAGCCGCACTGCCTCAGTTTATGCAGGAGAGAGGCCCCGCGGGTCAGAGAGCCGAAATCAGGGGAGCGTCTCTGTGCCCTTGGCTGTCACCAGTGACGAGCCATCTGGGTAAGATGGTGCCCAGGGTGAAGGGATGAGATGTACATTAATCCAACAGAACAACTCGGTCATGAAGATCTGTAGGAGAGCTTCACCACTCCGCCTCCCTCGTCAGATCACCAGTCTTTGTTTTTAATTCGAGACACACACACGGTGTCAGAGCATTGTGACTCACGAGACAGCCCTTGGTAGGAGATGGACTCTCACTCCTGAAGTCAGCACACTAGAGTGGGGTATTGCTGCTGCGGGCTCCGGGGACCCTGTGCCTTCAATCACCACCAAACGTGACATCACACAGACAGGACCCGACTTGGTGCCGTTACAACATGGTCCTGTGCTCCACGGAGTCACAGACCCCGAGGAGCTGAAAGGAGAACAGGTGGAGATAAACGTGTGCATTCGTCACTTGGAAGACTCCCAAGTTAGATGAGTGCAAATGACACCCTTGGTTTCCAGATGTGCCTTCAGGGAACAAGGCCAGAACGCGCTGCAAGAGAAATATGTGCCTCGGTTTGCAGCTCGGGTTCGGGAGGTGTTGGCCTGGGCAGACACGACTGTGAACACCGCGATCCCACACGGAACCACCGGGGCTGGAAAGAGGTGCATGGAAGTGCAGTGAAAGAGGTGCAGTCCCAGCAGAAAACCTGTAGCCATGAGACCCAGTTCTGAACAACGGTTGAGTAACCTGAACTCTTCTAAGATAAGGCTGTCTTGTGCATCCTCTGAAATCAGAGGTGAGCTCTCCAGCAGAAATGGACAGCTGGAGTCAGAAGTGAGAGACTTGCCTGGGCTGAACAAATTCACACTTCCCCCAGTTCTTCAATCTGTTAAAGTCCCATTAGTGGTGATAAATAATTAATAGTATTCTATCACTTACTTGGTTCACATATTGAGCAGATATAGCTGAACACCCACAATGTTTCAGGAAGTGCCCTTGGTCCTAGACAGTAGCAGGAACCAAAAAGACTTGACCTTGGCCCCCGCGGAGCTCCCAGTCTAGGGAGAAAGTAAACCTAAGCCATCATTATACAAATTCTAGTGAATTACAAACCACGTAAACAAGGGTCTGAGAGGCGTGATACACCTGGTTTCTACTGGCATTGGGGAAGATTCCTGAGAGCAGGAGGGAGCCAGACACAGGGCCAGCGGAAGAGAACAGACTCCTTGGGTTGGAAACAAGCTTGACCAGTTCAGAAACTGGAGAGCCTGGCGCGGCCAGGAGCCCCGGGGTGAGCAGGGCCGGGCCCCACCCTCGCATCCGAAAGACAACAGGCATCCTCTGATGGCTTCAAAGAAGTGAAGGGAGGTGACAAGGCAGCCTGTTTCAGAAAGAATGCTTTGTGTCCTTCTGTACAAAAAGCTTGATTAAACGTCTTTTAGACTGATTTTCCATCACTGCCAAAAGGACCACACACATTAAAATGGATGAACTACATCTACATGTACCGGTGTGAATAAATTCCAAACACATAATTTTGAATTTTGGAAGGTTTGCCATTTGCAGAAAGATGCCGTATAATACGATTTTCTGCTCATGCTTGGGCTCGGTCGTATCTGACTCTGTGCGAGCCCATGGACTGTACCCAGCCAGGCTCCTCTGTCCCTGGGATTTTCCAGCAAGAATACTGGAGTGGGTTGCGATTTCCTCTCCCAGCGGATCTTCCTGACCCGGGGACTGAACCTGTCTCCCGCGTCTCCTGCATTGGCAGGTGGATTCCTAACCACTGAGCCACCTGGGAGTACCATAATACTATTTACAGACATTTAAACATGAAAAAAAACCTTTGTGTCACTCATGGAAGTGTGAAAGGGCCAGGATAGGGGCGGAGGTGTTGTCTACCTGCTGGGTTAGCACCTGGTTTCCTAAGGATTTGAAGTGTAAACGGCAAGATGATAACATGTATTAAAGCTCACTGGGATAACATCGATATGTTAATCACATTGTTAATGGTGTTTGATTATTTCATAACTTACAACTTAAAAATGTTATCCCATATGTGTAATGAGTATTCATCAATTAAATACTCAATCTGGACTGCGACTGACTCTCATGGAAGCCACACAGTCTGAAACATAATTAAGTCACTCACTAGGTAACAAGACTCCTAAGTTGCCATATTCTTAGTGCTAGAGTATATGAGTAAAGTCAAGGTCAAACTGAAATGTGGGGAAGTTAAATAAAAACTCACATTTTATAATTTTCAAAGCTCTAAGCTCTTGGTTTTATAGAGATTTGTCCATGATCACACACCCGTTGCTGGCAAGTTAGAACCCAGACCCCTCTCTACTAATCGCACTTGCTTACTTACCACGAATGGACCACAGCTAGAAGGCCCTGTCTCTGACCTCTGCCCTGCTTTGCTGTGGTTAACCGCAACCCGCCCCACCCCTGTGTCCTCAGGTATCCTGCCCGTTCCCAGGAGCGATGCTCTTGACCTAGGCCCGCCCCCTCCGGCTCAGCAGGTCCTGGGAAAGGGCCTGAGTCTTGCCTGGAAACTGCAGCGGAGCAGAACCGCCTTCTGTTTGGCTGTCAGGAGACAAGGAACCTGGCGGAGAGCTTACAGGGAGGAATTCATCCAAATTCAACATGTGATCTCTGTCCTCTAAGCAACGAGGGTGGCGGACGGGACGCGGAGGCAGATGAAATGCCAGCTCGTCTCTCACTGTTGACACCTGGCTTCTGAAGCAGAAATCCAGACACGTTCTGCCAGTGGGAGTTCCTCCATGTGAGCATCAGAGAGGTCTCTCCCATCAGGACAGTCCTGAGACAGCCAGGAATAAGTGGATGCAAAAACGAAATATTTAAATGATCTTGAGACTCAATCCAAGGAAACTATTGGGTTGCCCAAAAAATTAGCTAGGGCTTTTGTTACATTATATGGAAAAACCCAAGCATTTTGGCCAACCCAATATATTATTAACCTGCTGTCTTTGCAAGCTCTTTGAAAGTGAAAGTGTTAGCTGCTCAGTCATGTCTAGCCCTTTCTGACCCCATGGACTATAGCCCTCCAGGCTCCTCTGTCCACGGGATTCTCCAGGGGGTAGGCTGCCATGTCCTCCTCCAGGGGATCTTCCCAACCCAGGGATCGAGCCTGTGTCTCCCGCATCGCAGGCAGATTCTTTACCACTCAGTCACCTGGTAAGCCCAACATCTGCCTAAATAGAGTTTATAGGTGAAGGCTGCCAACATACTGGTTTCCACTGCATTTCCCCCAAATGTGGGTGTGGAGTCGGGGCTGCGGTGGGGTCAGGGTGGGGGTCACTTCAGTTTCAGGAAGAGGCTATTTTGGGAAACAGCACTCCCACTCGGGCAGACACCACAGGAGGCCAGGCAGCAGTGACTCTTGGGAGGGTGTGACCCCCGCCCCCCCACACACACACATCGCCCTTTCCGGCCGTCTTCTGGGGTCTGGAAGTCTACAAGGAGGTGGCCGCACCCCGCGATAGTGCGGGAGGCGGCTGTGATGCCCCAGGGCCCGGCGGGGTGGGGGTGTCTGCAGGTCCGGTCCCAGCACAGCTGACCCGGGTGACCCTCGCACAGCAGGCTCTCCCGGGCAGGGTGGGCTCCACCGTGCCAAGGCCCAGGCCACGGCCAGGCACCCCGGGGGCAGGGCCCTCTCTCCCAGGCTTTCCGCCTGGGCCGCTGGCCTTGTTCTCTTTGGAGCTCTGCAGGGCAGCCCTGCCCCACACCGCCCTGCCCTCGGAGACCAAAGGGCCAGCGAGGCTGACTTCCCCCACACGAGGACCCTGCGCTCGGACCTGGACACCCAGCCTCGGTGGGACACGAACCTCAAGGGCTAGGGCTCCGGGCCCCGGGAGGGTGGGTGGAGGGCCGCACTCAGCACCTCAGGGCGGGCAGCTCAGCCTGGGAGCCCGCAGCCGGCGGAAGGAGCTGGAGGGGGCGCGGCGGGGTGGCGCAGGACGTGGCTCATGGTCCCCGAGGCCCCTTGGTGCAGCCTGGCCGCGTGGACAGGATGAGAGAGGAGGGGCGGTCATCTCCCAGGTGACAGCAGCCCCCGCGGGTGTGCTAATCCGGGATCCCCCGGATCCTAAACGCTGGTCACTGCGGTGAGGGAGCCTGTGCTGAAAACGGCAATCACGCCGCTTGCGCTCTTAGCACCCACACTCAGGGGCCTGGTGCCGACGTGTGAGAAGTCCGGGGCCTCCGGGGACCCAGCTGGAGCCCAGAGAAACAGTGCTGCCAGAGGCCCGGCGCCGCCGCCCGTGCCCCCAGCTGGCAGCGGATGTGAGCGGCCTCGAGGGCATCCATCGAGCTTCCCCGCCAGACTGCCCAGCCTACAAGTCTACAGGGCACGGCAGCCCTGCACTTCTGAGCCGCAGGTCTGGAGTGGTCAGTTATGGAGCCATCTGGACGGGGCTGCCAGCAAGGCAGGAACAGCACGGTGGCCCCAGCTGGGCAGGCAGTGGGCAACTGCATCAGGGCTTGAAGGACAGGCGGGTGGGGCTCCTGGACTGGGCGCTGGGCGGCAGGGCTCAGCAGCACCGTGGCCCACGATGCCAGAGACGGAGGGTGCTCGCTGGGCTGGGGATGACGCCAGAGGAGACTTCCGGGGGGCCAGGTGGGACTGCTGAGTGCGCTCTCTGTGACTTGAGAGAAGGGGGGAGCTGGAGAAGGAAGGGTTCCATTTTCAAGTGCAATTTGGAGGAAACATAAAGGAAGCAGGCTCACTGGGTTCACAGATGAAGCTCTTCTCTTTTCCAGTGCCTCTAAGACTGCCGAATTCAGACCCGGCTTCAGAGCCAAGATCAGTCCAGGCAGCACAATCTGATCTCTCCTTAAGACCTCCTGGTATCTGAGGGGCACCAGGCAGAAGCCCTGGAAGGGTCCTGCAGTAAACAACAGGGCTTCTAGGAATTTTAAGGATGCTTTTCACAGCAGCCTTGCAGGGAGTCCAAGGCGGAGAAAGGACTGAGTGGATTTCTGGATGACACCTTTGTCTAATGGCTTCAATCCCAGCAGATCCATAGAAAGCCCACAGTGTTTTTAAGATAATTGCACAGGAAGAGATTCTGCCAGCTTGGAGTCAATGGGACAGATCAGCTCAAAGAAACCAGGAGGCAGGCTGAGAAAATCACTCAGCTGCAAGCACCAGGCACTTTTTATGAAAAAGGGAGAATGACTTGGAGGATCAAGAAGGCAGAGCCAGGAGCATCTGAGAATCACTCCTGGAGCCGGAACGGAGCCCGCTTGTGTCCGACGGCCCTGCAGGGCTGCCCACGGAGCGGCCGCTGCGTGTCACCCTTCCCGTCTGGACAGGACAGTGGTGATGCACCAGCCTGGCTGGGCTGCCACACCCAGGTGTTTGCTCAAATGCCAGTCTAGAAGGTATTTCTGTGAAGGTATTTTTAGATGAGATTAATATTCAGACCAGCAGACTTGGAGGAAAGGTCATTACTCTTCACAGTGTCTGAGACCCGCTCCCTGGTTCACCGACGGCATCTTCTGTGTCCTCAGCTGGAGGAAGGGCTGGGGTCTCCACGGGGTCTCTGTTATCAGGCACTTACCCCATCATAGGGGCTGCACCCTCACGACCTCATCACCTCCCGAAGCCCCCCACTTCCTAACACCATCACCTGGGTGTTAGGCGCAGCACGTGCATTTAGTCTGCAGCAGCCACTAGGTTTGTGGGTTGGTCGTCAGACAACCCCGCCGGCTAGAGCGAGATTCCTGTTATCTGTGCTGGCCACCGCAGCCCACGGGAAGCTACAGGCCACCCGGTGCCATAACAAGGCTCGTGCCTGTCAGCGACCATTGTGACGGCTGTCTGAGAACTGGTCTGAGAACTGGTCGTGGGGCCCAGGGCTGTGATGGGGGCCCAGCAGGGTGCCACAGTGGGAGCAGGAGGCAACCCTGGCTTGGAAAGAGGCAGCGGCTCCGCGTCTGCACCGTGGCCCCGCAACTAAGGGTTCTCAGGGACAGCGCTGAGGGCACCCCCCTCAGCACAGGGGCCCCTGCTTACACAACGCGCATCCACGTCCTCCCCCTGGGCAGTCTCGCTCTGTGAGCCACGCAGTCTCAGCTCTTCAAAGTTAATCCACGTCCTACTGCATGAAGGCCTAGTGTGTAAAGCTCTGTCAATTTACAGAGGAAATGCCACAGTTAATGAGGGATAAACGTGTATTAAGTCACAAATCTGACACGGCCAGGGTGCCCATCGGCCTGCCTTCTTTCTCTGACGCGCCAGCGTCTCTGACCACCATCTCTGCGAGGTGTCCCCTGCCGTCCTCCTTTGCTAGGCTTCACCCTTCAGACCCCAACTCACAATCCCTGCATCAGGTGCTTTCATAGGGGTTTGTTCCTTTCCTTCAGAGACACTGCCTGCTTATTACCACACACGAATTAACATCACTTTCACCGTTATCAGGACCCAAGCTGCCGGGAGACAGTTTGGGGGAGGCAGAGGCTGTGTCAGTTTTAAATGCCATTATATTCCCAGCACCTAGAACTGCGCCTGACCTGGGTGGGGCAGACAATCGATAGGTGTTTGTGAAAGGAAGAAATTGGTTTTTAATCCATTGAATATTGTATAAGACTTGCAACGGTTTCAATTTCCAAAGTGCTGTTTATTTTAATA